GTTTCAGTCTTTATATGTCTTTATGTCTGAAGTGAGTCCCCATTAGGCAGCCAATAGATGAGCTTGTGTTTTTATCCATTCAGTCACCCTGTCTTTTGATGGGAGCATTTAGGTCATTTACATATAAAGTAATTTTCAATATATAGTACTTATTGCCATTTTGTTAAATGTTTCCTGTTTTTGTTATTCTTCTCTGATCCTTTCTTCCTCTTCTGCTCTCTTCTCTCGTTGTTTATGACTTTCTTTAACGTTATGGTTGGGTTCCCCTCTCTTTCTTTTTTCTGTATCTATAATACATTTTTGGTTTGTGGTTACCATAGGGTCTTATATGGCATCCTATGAATATAACAATCTATAATAAGCTGATGGTCACTTAAGTTCAAACACATTCTAATAGCATTACATTTCTTACTCCCCCTCCTTCCCCTTTAACATTTCTTATAAGGCTGGTTTAGTAGTGGTGAACTGTGAAGTTTGTCTGTGAAGCTCTTTCTCTCTCCTTCAATTCTGAATTATAATCTTGCCAAGTAGAATATTCCTGGTTGGAGGTTTTTTTCCATACAGCACTTTGAATATATCATGCCATTCCCTTCTGGCTTATAGAGTTTCTGCAGAAAATTCAGCAGATAACTCACAGGGTTTCCCTTATACATAATTCATTGCTTTTCTCTTGATGCTTTCAAGATTCTCTCTTTGTCTTTGATTTTTGACATTTTGATTATGCTGTGTATTGGTGTGGACCTCCTTGGGCTCATCTTGTTTGGAGCTGCTGTGTGCTTCCTGGACCTGGTAGACTGTTTCCTTCCCCAGGTTAGATAAGTTTTCAGCTATTCTCTCTTCAAGTAAATTTTCTATTCCTTTCTCTCTCTCTCTTTTCTTCTGGGACTCCTATAATGTGGATGTTAGGATGTTTGACATGATCCCAGAGCTCTCTTACCCTGTTCTCATTTGTTTTAATCCTTTCTTCCTTCTGCTATTCAGCTAGAGTGCTTTCCATTACTCTCCTTTCCAAGTCAATGATACAATTTCTGCATCCTCTAGTCTGCTGTTCATTCCCTCTATAGTATTTTTTATTTCATCTCTTGAATTCTTTGTTTCTGATTGGTTCTTTTTTACACTTTCTCTTTGTTGAGGTCTGCCTTGAGTTGTGCTATTGTTTTCTCAAATCCAATGTGTATCTTTATAACCATTGCTTTAAACTCTTTATCAGATACATTGGCTAACTCTTGTTTCATTTACTTTTCTTTCTGGTTTTTTTTTTCTTGTTCTGTCATTTGGAGTGTATTCTTCTGTCTCCTCATTTTGTATGACTTTCTGTGCTCGGTTCTATGAATTAGTTGAAAGGGCTCACTCTCCAAGTCTTGAAGGATTGGCCTTGTGTAGGAGAGTCCCCTATGTGGATTGCATGCACCTCATGTTTTTGGCAAGCTGGCCATCTAAGTGTGAGATGCAGTTTTCCTGGTGCTGGGGTTCTCAGTGTGTGGTCCTGGGTTGCAGCCTTGGGGACTCTTTGGAGGGGCTCCTGGTTGGACCCCCATGGCTTCTCTGCTGGCAGGTGGAGAGTGGTGGGCCAACAGTAGTTCAGGGGCACACTCCAGGTAACTCCCAGATCGGCACCATCTGAGCCCACTTTGCCTCCTCACCTGTATGCCTGTGCATACTCTGGCTGCTGAGGACTGCTCGGGGGGATCCACTCATGACCTGGGGTCAGGCCTGGCTCAGGCATTCCCCGCTGTGCTCTGGGGAGTTGCCTTGGTGGTACCAGCCCGCAGAATTGTGCACCCTCCTTTTGAGCCAGAGAACATTCCAGTCCTGCTGATGGGGGTTGGGTCATGGATAACAGCAGGCAACAAGGCAGGACTGCTAGATGGAGCCTGGATACTGCTCTCAGTTGCACTAAGATGTGTGGAAGAAGTTCAAACAATGGCACTGGCTGGCTCCTCCAATCCTGAATTGCCTCCAATGGTTTCCTTGCCATGTGGCAGGCGTTTACTTCTGAAACTTAAGTTCTTTCACATATGGTCTAGTTGCACTGTAAATCACAAGTCTTTCTCCTGCACCTCAGGGAAGAGAGCCCACACCTGGCTCTCTCAGAGATACCCTGCTCTCTTCCATCTGGAGGTCACTGTGCTGGGGATGGCATTCCTGCTTTACTGTGTCTCTGTCTCTCCCATCATTTGGGGACTTTTTTGTAGGATCATTCTGTCTCTCATTGTATAAAGGTGTTTGCTTCAGTCTCCATTCTTCAAGATGAAATATTTTGTGTGTAGGTTTAGGTTCATCATGTGAGAGAAGGTAGATTCAAATGTGCTCTACTCTGAATCCTCCAGTGTATTTTTGCTTACATTTTTCTGATGGGAAACCTGCTGTACTTATTTTTGTTCCTCTTCGTGTTTCTTTTTTCTCTGGCAGCTAACTGTCTCTCAATATCTTAGGTTTTGAGTAATTTCATTATGATATGCCTTGGCATCATTTTCTTCATGTTTCTTTTGCTTTGGATTTGTTGAGCTTCTTGGATCAGTAGTTGTATAGTTTTCAAGGAATGTGGAAAATCTTTTTCTATTACTTTTACAAATATTTTTCTGTCCACTCCTCCTTCCCTGCTCTCTTACACGGACTCCAATTATATATATATAAGGCTACTTGAAGTGGTCCCTCAGTTTACTGATCCTTTTTTCTTAAAAACTTCTATTCCCTATGTATGCTTCATTCTGAATGGTTCTATTGCTGTGGCTTCACATTCACTAATCTTTTTTTCTGCTGTGTCTAATCTGATGTTAATCCCAGTGTTTTTTCAGTCTTAGACACTGCAGTCTCCATCTCATCTCTATGTTTGACTTAAGCTTTTCCTATCTTTTGTCTCTATTTAACTTTAGAGTAGATGGAATATGAGTATCATCACTATTAATGTCCTTTTATGCTAATTCTAACATTTGTATCAGTTCTCAGTGACTTTAGATTGATTATTTGTATCAGTTATGTTTTCCTGCTTCTTTGTGTATCTGTTAATTTTTGTTTGGTTGCAACACTTTATGCATTTTCTTTGTTGGGTGCTAGATATTTTGGCATTCCTATACATAGTCTTGTGCCTTGGTCTGAGATGCAGGTGGATTGGAAACATCTTTTGGGGTATTCTTTTATGATTTGTTGGCTGAGTCTGGAGCACATGCTCTATCTAGAGCTAATATATCATGTTACTCAACAAGACCTTTCCAAATACTCTCCCCATTGCCCAATAATTATGAGTTTTTTTGTTCTTAATGTGGGAACAGTCATTATTTCCAGGCCTTTGTGTGTGCTGTCCACTGTTCTCTGATCCTTTCAGATGTTCCTCCCACCCTCGGCTCAGGTACATTCTTCATACACATACTCTGATCAGTGTTCTGCTGATTACTTGAAGGGGACCCTCTGTGGATCTTCAGAGTTCTATCTGCAGCTCTCTGCTTCTTCAGAATAATTTGGTGAACTCTAGCCACCTTGGTTTCTGTGAACTCTCAGCTCCATCTCCTGAACCCGGGGAATTTTCTGGGATCTGCCTGGGTTCCCATCTGCACTGTAGCTTGAAAAAACTCTTGAAGCAGTGAGCTGTGAAAATTGTAGGACTCACCTCATTTGTTTCCTATCTCTCGGGGATCACTGTCCTTCATTGCCTGGTGTCCACTGTTTTAAAGAACATCGTTTCATATATTTTGTCTATTTTTTGTTTATTTCTTTCAGGTAAATCTAGTCCCTGTTCCTATCTTGGGTGGAACTAGAAGTCCTCCTCAATGGAGTTTGAAGGACATAACACCTATGTGATACCATTAGGGCATAAATCAAGATTGTAGAAAATGAACTTTCTAAATCCAGACTGTTAAAGGATATTTTTCTTTTTATTTAAAATTATAATTCGTGAAGATTCACAAAGTAATGCAAACTATGAGGCAACTGTAAGAAAGGAATGAAATTCCAGTAATTGGGATTGTCACTGAGTATCTAGGCTGGTAGGCCCTGTGGCTGAAGGATCTCCGAGAATGTGCGCCAAAGGCTGTGATGTAGGCTGTGGAGGGGGGAGCTCCCACCCCGAGGCAGGTTACATGCTGTCCTAGTACCCCAGCCCTGTCTTCACAGCATTTATGAAGACTGTAGTTAAAAAACTGTTAGTTTACTTGTCTATTACCTATTTTGCTTTCCAGACTGTAGGCTTTATGAGGGTAGAGCCCTTCGGTGCTGTCTTCAATACTAACACAGTGGCACATACATAATAAGGCCTCAATAAATATCCATTAAATATATGAATGAACAAACACATGAATAAGGATAAGCAGAATTAGAAGAGAAGGATACAGGCCTCCAGGCAAGGATGAGAAGAGCCCGTCCTTCTAGGAAGCCAAAGTGGCAGTGACGGCGACCTTCAGGGCAGACAGGCGGTACAAGTGACCCTCACCTCCTATGGTGACAGGAGGGGCTTCATTACATGTCTGTGGGATACATGATGTTGATGATGATGGTGACAATAATGACGTCCATTTTTACTTAAGCCATGAAGAGAGAAGGGATCTGAATGTGGTCAGAAAGCTTAACGCCACTGTTTTCTTATATTTCCCCTTGTTATAAAAAAAAAAGTGTTAGCTTAGCTTCTGGCATATATGGTCTGCCTTAACAAATATTTGTTGAAGGATTGGATTTTTAATGAGTTTTTTGTCAAAAATATCTCTATTAGTAAGAACTGCTTATACGAGTTAACAAAGTACCTACCTAAGTAGGTTCATAACAGAGATAACACATGGTTGGTTATCATAGTGGAGGGGGTAAAGGGTTAGATGAAATAGATTAAGGGGATAAGGAGGTACAAACTTCAAATTATAAAATAAATTAGTCACAGGGATGGAAGAACAACATAGGGAATATAGCCAATAATATTGTAATATCCTTGTATGTTAACATATGGTAACTATATTTATTGTGAACATTTAGTAATATATATAATTGTTGAATCACTATGTTGCACATCTGAAATCAATATAATATTGTATATCAACTGTATTTCAGTTAAAAAACAAAGTACCTACTTAAGATCTGTCAGAGATCTGCCTGAGTCTTTCATGTCCTCAGGAAGGTAGTGGAGGGGAGTTAGTGGCAAGACAAAGGGTTGGGATATTACACAAATGTGGGGTCAAATCTCAGCCATGTATCTACTGGCAAATTTAATTCAGCTTCCTAGGAAATGGAGGTGATATTGCCTGCTGTGTGGGGGTATGAGGACTGAGATGATGATTCATAACAGACATCCAATAAATGGTAGGTGTTATTTTCATTACTTGATGGGAAATGACCACTTTGAGAGAGACTGATCTGGGGGTCTGCAAATGGGTGAGCTGGGAGCTGTCAATCTAAGGATCCTGCAGGAGCAGATGACTTGCAACCAGGTACCTGGACCAGCAAATGCTGCTCACTTAGCAAAGCAGTATTCTCTGTTGAGAATGGATAAAATGATGGTATCACTCACACATACCCCACCCCCCCGACACACACACACCTGAAGAGATGAAGGGAAGTCAGTGAACACAGTCCTGAAATGTCAGGTCCAAGTCCAGAATGTCAGTGATACATGAGATCAATACAACTCTCCAGTGGCATTTAAAAAATTTCCGTCCCTTCATGTCTGTCTGTCTTTGGTTGCATGGCCTCACTGGTAAAACAGTCTGATGTCTCTATAGCCCTTTTACCCTTTGGAGTACTCAATATTGGGTGTTCAACATTTTTCATGCAAGTTGATAGAATGCTCTTGTTATCTACTGCAACGTCACCAACTCCCAAATCTCAGTTACACCGTTTATTTTGCTCACGCATCTGCAATTTGGGCAGGGTTTTGGCGGGAACAGCTCCTCTCTGCTGTACCTTGCACCAGCTGGGGTGGCTCAAAGGCTGTAGGCTGGGATCAACTGAAGGCTCATTCTTCACATGTCTGCCAGTTGATGCCACCTGCTGACTGGGACTGCAGCAGATGTCAACCGAAACACCTCCACATAAGCTCTCCAGGTGGCCTCACTTTCAAGGGTGAGCATCCTGGGAGAGAGTCAGGTCAAAGCTGTATTACCTTTTACAACCTAGACTTGGCAATCACACAGGCATCACTTGCATCTATTTTATAATTAGAAGCAAATTGCTAAGCCCAGCCCATACTCAAGAAGTCAATTAGCCTACCTTTTGAAGGGAGAGTGTCAAAGAATGTGTGGACACGTTTACCATCCACCACGCACAGTCCTTGTGTGGTGCTGTGTGCTGGCAGAGCCTCTAGCCTGGCTGAGTGGAGATGCCGACACAGCAGTGGGGTAGGGTGGGGACAGCATGGTTTGAGGCCCCACGCCTGGCTGGAGGGCATCAGGGGAGGCCCTTGCTAGAGGGACTTGAGCTGAGGCAGGAGGGGATGGCACACTGGGGAGGGCTGTGAGGGATGGACGTGGTGTCCAGACCCAAACAGCTGCTGGAAAGCAGGGCTGGCGTTGAGCTCATGCCCACCTGATGGGAGGGCCTGCATTCTCACACCACAGCAGAGGCTGCTCCGAGACAGTGGTGATGACAGCAAGAATTCCTCCCAGGGAGCCAGGGATGCAAGGGCTCTGGGGTCAGGGTGCATCTCAACCCTGTCTTAGGCCAGCAAGGTGAATCTGTATGTTACTCTCCCAGACTCGCTCTCTTTTCTGAGAAACAGAGCTGATAACACCTGCCTTTCAGTGGCACTGTGGGGCTTAGTGATAATACTCAGGAAATCATGAGCAGCCTCAGGCCAAGAGCAGATGCTCCGGGAGTGGCAATTTACATTATGGCCTTTTCACTTGTCTTCCGAAATGACTGATGGAGAGGAATGGGAGAGGAAAGGCAGAGATGATCATCCAGGGTGCTAGTGAGGAGCAGGGGCAGGGCACGCAGGCGGGTGCGGGCCAAGGGCACTGGGGGATCAGCAGTCGGACTTGGTCCAGCAAGGAACCAAGCCCTTGCACAGCGGCTTACTCTCTGAGCCCTGACCCTCTGTGCCGCTAGGCACAGTTGGTGGGAGGATTAACAAGGTGATTCAGCCACTTAATGTGCAAAAGCCCTGGCCCAGGTCCTGGCCTTTAGGAGGTACTCGGGGTTCCTGCCCAGAGCCCTGCTCTGCACGTTCTCCTGAGGCGGCGCTAGGTGACGCTGTGGGACCACTGTTGAGACCCAGACGCACACACTTGGTCCTCCCAGAAGGCTCGGGCCTAGGTAAGCCCTTCCCACCTCCCTCCTCTGTTTGGCAACTCTCCAAAAAACAGTGTGTCCTCCCCCTTCAGTCAGCCTTTTGCTTCCTTCCCTACTGGCCTTGTGGACAGAGAGAAGTTCCCCACCCTCACCTCCCCGCCACAGAGGCATGGGCTCTCGCAGCCTGCAGGGGGCGGTGTGGAGCAGACAGCAGTACCCATTCTTGGAGTGAGAGCGACCTTGCTGCAAAGACCTCATCCACCTCCTAAAAGCCAAAAGCCCAATCCAGGCAGGCAAACCCCTCTTTTCAGCTCTCCCTCTGCTATCTGGCACATAGGAACCCCACTTGTGCCTGCAGGTCTTTGCTGTGGATTATTTAATGTGGGGTAGAGTCCAAAAACTTCAGACAGGAAAGAAAGGCAAGCTCAGCCTCCTCAAACTTAGTGATTTAGTCTCTGAGTGGGCACAGCAACGTCTCCGAGGCTCACCTGCAAAGTGGAGAGAGTCATCCCTGCTTTGGAGGGTTGCAGTAAGGCATAAACGAGCATGTTGTGTGGAGGTGCTTCGTCTGTTGGAAAACTCTAGGCACCTGTGAGATGTAACTATCACAGAAGATAACAAACTTGGACAGTCTTGGGACATGTACAAAATGACTGGTGCAGGCAGCGAGGGCCAGGGAGGCCAGAGTTCGGTGGGAGATGGACCTTGAGCCAGGCCATTGGGTTTAAGGGTGGAGGGGGCACAGATTCACAGGAGCACAGGGATTGTGGAGGGAGCAGTCCACAGGCTGGAAGGAAAGGACAGAGCCAGACGGGGGACCTGAGTGCCTGGCTGCTGAATCTGAGCCAGTACCCCAGCCTTCAGGGAAGGTCCACCAAAGAGGGGCTGCCCTTAGAAAGATCCCTCTGGCAGCAGCAAGAAGGGAAAGGTAGGAAGCCAGTCTAGAGGCTATCGTATTCAGTGTGCATTTCACCCTGCCTTTCTTTTTAGAAGTTAAAACAGCAACTACTTTATTATTTCTCACAATTTTGTGGGTTAGGGATTCAAGTAGGGCCCAGATGGGTGACCCTTCTATTCTACATGGCATCCACCGAGCTCCCTTGTGGTATTTAGCTGGTGCCGCACTGGGTGTGGTGGACCCAACATGACAGCTCTCACATACTGGCCGCTGGAGGGCTGGCTGGGCAGCTGGGCTGGACAGTTCATTGCTTCACCTACACACAGCCTTGCCATTGTGGTCGTCCACCCTGTTCTTAATCGTGATTTTGAAAGAGCTGCTCCTCCTCTAACTTTTCCTGACCATAGAAATGGGCTTGCGAGTGGAGGCTGACTCGTCCTTTCCATCTCAGGACGGGACTGGCCAGGCTGCAGCAGCCAGCCCTTAATTGATGATGCAGTGCGGTTTATACATGTCCCCATCTGCAGTGACACCACAAAGAGTGTCACCTCCCACTACCCAGCTGAGGCCTGTCCCAGCTCTCAGGGAGAGAATCTGGTTATGTACCATGGCACCACCCGACCCACGCCCAGACACACCTGGGGAATGAAATGCATGGAAGGCGGGGCCATCTCTGCTCTGAAGAAAGCCATGCAAACTGCAAGGGGCACATGGAGCTCTGACACAATGGGCTTTATCTCCTCAGCCACACACCAGGAGAGAAGGTGCCGCAGCCCGGCCCAGCCCTCCTGCAGTGTGGCGGGACCTGCTTCCTTAGCGTCTTGCTCCACAACCATGCCACCAAACCTCGGATCTGTCAGCCGGGAGACCTTGGCTGGCCAGTGGGCTGGGCAGTGGGTTCTTCTGCAGGGAAGCGAAGAAAGTACCAGAAGTCATTTCCCTTTGCTGCCTGTGGTTGATCATCTTTCTGAAATACCAGAGTTCACAGTTCCCATCACTGTTGGTGGCTTTGGACAAAAGTCCCTGGAATGTTAACCCTGACCCTCAGCAACAGGCCACAGAAGGAGAAGGGCGAGGCATTGGGGGTGTTGGGCTGGTCTAAACGTGTGTGGGGACTACTACCTCTTTGGAGGAAAGTTAAACTCTCAGTTCACCTCCATGCCCCCAGAGCCTGCCCCAGTGCCAGGGGAGGCAGAGGAGGATGGCAGGCTCTGGGATGATGGGACCTTGGGTTGATGGGTTTAAGCTTAATGAGATGTATGTTCGGAGGGCAGGAGCAGCTCACCGTGCCATGGACGGTCCCCTCCCCATGGCAGCCTGGAAGACTTTTAAGCCAGAAAACAGGCTGAGAAGCCAATCCCCTTCTGTGTGCCCTGGTCAGCCTTTAAAGTGTGTGGTGTCCAACTTGTCCATCTATAATATGGGGACAACAGTACAGGAAGGCACCTCACAGGGCTGCCATGAGGATAAATGGATGGACGTAAAGGAATTTGGAAAAGGGCCTGCACTATTTAGTGAAGGTGGGATTTTCCCCCCAGCGATACCATCTCACTACATACATGGAAAACCTCAGTCCCCAGAGCCAAGCAAGTCCAAGAAATTAAGCCAAATGCAAACCTGGAAGGCTGTGGCTGGAATTCTCAGCGATGAGGCCTTTGAAGTGAGGGCTCTCCCTCCCTCCAAGGGCTCCAGCAGCTCCCCCAGGCCGAGTCTGATGAAAGGAAAGACAGGCTCTGTTGTGGTTTGACACATGCCCCAGATGTCAGGTTGCAACTCCATTCGGCAATTAACTCTCAGAGGTGGCAGTTGTGCCAAGGGGAAAGGGCTTGGGCTTGGAATCAGGATGAGTGGTGCCAGTGCCAGCCACGCCATACAACTTATCTGTGCCTCCATTCCTTTGTGGCTAAGTGGGGGTGAGGCCAGGACAGACCTTCCCAGGGTTGCCAAATTTAGCAAACTGAAAATATGAGATACCCAGATCAATTTTCATTTCAGATAATCAACAAATAATCTTTTCCTAAAGTGTATCCTAGGCAATACTCAGAACATACTTAAACACTAAAAATTATTTTATCTGAAATTCAAATTTAACTAGGAGTCTTATATTCTATCTGGCAACCCTACTCCCCCAGGAGGCTTTATGAGGGGTCATCTGGGTGAAAGGGCTTCAAAGCTGTAAATGCTTTGAAAGTGGGACAGTTTCTGGAGGGATGGTGGACAGTCATCATAGCAGCCAAAACGGTCTTTCATTTTGAATCTCCAAATCCCCCCTCCACTCCAGTGGAATCTTTTCATCTCTAAAGGGCTTCCCTGCTCTTCCAACCCCAGCTCCCCTCTGGTTCTCACACCGCACCCCCCCTTCCCCAGGGCCCTGGAGAGGCACAGTTAGGCTTCTGGAGGCTGCTTAAGTGACTCAGCTCTGGGCCTTGCCCACCATGCTGGATTGCGGCTTTTGCCTTCACAGAGCATGTGATGCTGTGGGAGGCTCCCAGGTCCATTCAACAGCCCTGGCTAGACTGTGTGCTCTGCCACGGAAGCAGAGGCTTAAGACAAGCTCCTTCTCATCTCTGAGCCTCAGAGTCCTCAGCTGGACAATGGGAACGATGCTAACCCCAGCTCATCTTTAAGACAGCCAAGTAAGATGATGCCCGTAAAACACCTAATATGGTGCCAGGCACAGTGGGCACTGAGTCAGTGTGCCTGTTAGCTCCCACGGCCATCTGGTCACCCCTGTCCACTGTGCCTGGCTGGCCTGCTGGCAGTCACCAATGTGCTCTGAGGGGAAAGTTTTCCTTCACCATTGACTCACCCCATATATTTCTGTGCTTTCAGGATTCCAGGCTACTGGCCTTGCCTGCTTCTGCTTCCCCAATGCCCATCTCCGTCTGCCGCTCCCCAAACCAAGATATTCTCTATGATGGGAAATGATGATCACTATCATTGCTCCCCAAACGCAGCACAGAAACACACTCAGCTTGCACCACCTCAGTCCCACCACCAGCCCTCCCCAGCCAAGGCCTTCCAGAAATCTAGCCACCTCAGGGAAGGAGGGCTGGTGCTGAGGTGGGGCTCTCTGCTGCCTCTCTCCTGGCACCCCAAGTGGCTTTCAGGGTAAAGTATACCTGGGAATGGGGGAGGATAGAGAACAATGAGAAGGAGGAGAACTTGGGGGTGTCTTTTGCTTTTATTCTTTAAGCCCGAGGAGCAGCTGGGGCTGAGTATCCCACCAGGAAGGACGGGGCTGAATCAGGAGCCTCTGCCTGCCTCCCCACAAAGCCCTGGGCTCGTGCTGTCCCCACTGGGCTGCAATTTCTCCTCTTGACAGAAGGAGAGCCTGACACATGCCAGGGACTATCCCCCAGAATTATTCATTCATTCATCCAACACAGTCTTCTGGTGGGATTACAGAACACAGGCACACCTGTGCTATTGTGGGGACCCAAGGCCCAAAGAGAGGGACAGAAATGAGGCAGAAACAATGCAGGTAGATAGAGCAAAGGCAACAGGGTCACTTAGGACAGCATGGCGGGCAGGCTTCCAAGGGTGTACAGACAAACGGGGTGTGAGAATAGAATAAAATACACATATGCATCGGTTGACAAAAGTTTAGGTATCACCCACCTCAAATGTGGGCAAAGATGTGGAACAACAGGAATGTTCACACCATGCTAGTGGGAGGCTCATTTAGTACAACTCAAAAAGCAATACCTGTTCCCTGTGGCCCTTTAGAGAAGCTCCACTCCCAGGTCCATGCCCTGGACAGAACCCATGCACGGCGCACAGGAGAGCCGCCTGAGAACTCTGCCAGCAGCAGGCTCATGGACTGCAACAGCCCCAGGCTGTCAGGGTGGCTGAGAGCCAGTGAAGAGAGGCAGGCAGGGCTCCACCGACAGAACGCCAGACAGCCAAGTAAACGCCCAGGAGGCCACTGCGTGCAGAAGGTGGGATGGGCCTCACACAGACACAAAGGAGGACACACTGTGTGATTCCATTTTTACCAAGTTTTAGAACAGGGAAAACAAAACTATGTTGCTTTAAGGGCACACACATGGGTGTTACAACTCTAAAAATCAAAGCCAGGACCGTCACCAAGTCAGAATGTGTTTCCTCCCCAGTACAGTTTCTCCCCTGGAGTGACTTTCTTCCCCACTCCCCAGGGGATATTTGATCCTCACAACCGTGGGGGTACGAGTGTACTACTGGCCAGGTGTGCTCAACAACCTACAGTGTACAGGACAGCCCTGACACAGGCCCAAGGGATTATCCTGCCCCCAGTGCCACGTTGTTGCTCTCTGGACGGCCCGTCCAGGGCACAAGGGCCAGCCCACATGGGGCCTCTCAGATCCTGGCCATGTGTAAGGGTGGTCATTTTATAGACATCCTGTAAACTCTGCATAAATACTTTATACACCTCAAGTATAACTAGAGGGTGCAGCTGGGCGTTTGGGGGATCAGCTGCGAGGTCAGCCTTGGCCTCCCACTGCAAGGGGAGCAATAGCTGGGACACCTCACAAGGCGTTTGAGACCTGGGCAGGCTGGCATCTGCCCTCAACACCCCTCCATGACTCTGGAATGTGGAGGGGTTCCCCACGCCAAGGACAAGTGCCCTACCCAGGGAGGTGGGTTCTCTGGGCTCTATTCTGCTGTAGGCATGGTGGGGTCCCAAGGGGCCAGGCGGAGAGCGAGCCTGGCAGCTGCCTTCCCTCCTCTCTGCCCAGGAGGGCCTGGGAGTCCAGGAGTTCATGGCAGCATTTTGGAGTGTGCCAGGAAATAGGTCCTTTTGGCCCTTGGGCTCCAATGGGGGTGCCCCCCAGACAGGCTCTGAGCTTTACGTCCCCCAAGGAGTAAGGAAGGGCAGCAGCGAGGTGCACTGGGACCCAGCTGCAGGCCTGGGCTCAAACTTGAACTTTGCAGTTAGAAGAAAGTTACCTGACCTTGCTGAGCCTCAGCTTCACTGTATGTAAGGAATGGAAATAGTGGTGTCTCACGGTGCCAGAAACCATGTTGGTAAGAGGGCCGGCAGCACAGACAGCGGCTATTCAGTGGCAGCCTCATTCAAGCAGTGCAGAAATGAGGGCTCCCATGGGCACACCAACCTGCCCTGTGTCATCGGTGGTGGGTCAGACCTCAAGTCCTATTTCCCTGCTAATGTCCCTTGGCACTGACTCATTTAAAAACCTATTAGCCCGTTTAGGGAACCAAGGAAAGGCATTTGGGTGCAGGCCTGGGCCGAGGCATTGGAACAGGACTCACGGCACTGGCCCAGCTCCATGGAGTGAAAGCTCAAGACCCACAGGAAATGGAGGGACCTTCAGCCCCTCCACCACCTCACCTGCACCCCGATTCTCTTGCCAGGGCCGGAGCCTCTGTTTCACGAAAGTGATTGTGTGTTTCATCAGTCGGGACGCCAGCGGACAAGAGAGGGCACACCGAGGAGGCTTAGCCAGTGGACTAGTCGGTGTGGATGGGTGTGAGGCCCCCCAGGGGCAGCGCAGACTGGAAGGGTGAATGACAGAAGGGTTACCAGAACCTGGGAGAGTGCTCCACATGGGGCTGCCCTGAGGGGGCTGTGACCTTCAGTTCAGGGTCATGGCGGCCTACAGCAGCTATGCAGAGCCTGCAAGGAAGGCATCCTCCCGTGGATCTCCTGGGCCTGGCCTTGGCTGCATCCAGCAAGACAGTGGGCAAGGGGCTGTCCATGCAGTCCCTCTGGTCATCCTCCTGGACACAGGGCAGCTTTGAGAAGGGAGGGGTGCAGGGATGCCCAGCACAGGGGTACGTGATGGGGGCTAACCTGAAGGGGCTCCATCTGGGCGCTCTCTCTGGGGATGGCTCTCTGTCTCACCTGTCAGTCTTTATGTCTGAGTGTTACCTTTAAAATCAACTTTACTGAGGTGTAACTGTCACTCGGTAGAATGCTTCCATGTTAAGTGTACATTTTAGTATACACACCTGTGTAACCATCGCTACAATCAACACACAGAACATGCTCATCTGGAAAGGACTTGCTGCCACCTCCCAGCCAGGATCCCTTCCGGCTTTGGCTCTCGGCCACCACTGTCTGCTCTCTATCATTATAAATTCCATTTGTCTTTTCTAGAGCTTCATGTAGGTGGAATAATATAGTATATACTCTTTTGTGTCTGATTTCTTTCCCTCTGCGTGATTTTGAGATTTATCCCTGCTACTGTGTATGCCGGTTGTTCAGTGAGTTCGTTGCTAAGCTAGTGTTCCACTGCACGAATATGTCACAATTTATTTATTCCTTTACTTGTTGATGTACATTTGGGTCACTTTTAGGTTTTGCTATTATGAACAAAGCTTCTATGAACATATGTATATAAGACTTCGTACAGACATGTTTCCATTTCACTCAAGTAAATACCTGTGGGTAAGATAGGCTTGATGGGTCATTTTGTAAGTGTTACTTACAAGAAACTGCCAAACTGTTTTCTAAAGTGGCTGTATCTTTGTGCAACCCACCAGCAAAGTAGGAGAATTCCAGTTGCTCCACATCTTCATCAACACTTGGTACCATCAGTCTTTTTAACTTGATACCCTCAGCCATTCTGTGGGGTGTAGTGACACCTCGGTGTGGTTTAATTTGAATTTCTGTATGCCTAACAACATGCAGCATCTCTTCATGTGCTACTGGCCAATCAGATACCTTCTTTTGTGAGGTATCTATTCAAATCTTTTGCCCATTTTTTTTTAGTTGCATGTATGCTTATTGAATTAGTGTCTGCCAGTCTATAGTTTGCCTTCTTGTTTCTTAACTGTGCATTTTGAAAGGTTCGAGGTTTTTGACTTCTCGTGAAGGTCCTTCCTAAACTCAACCAGGAGGCTGTGTAAAGGCAAATAACGCCCACCACTTCCCACTCCAAGGCAGAGAGATGTGCAGGCCCAGAGCCTGCTGTCATCCCATGCATTCTCACAGGACAGCCTGGCTGGAAAAACTGCCCAGGTCAGATGAGAGGAGCCCAGGAGGGCACTTTGCTTCTTCCCTTAGCTTAAAACAGACACAAGGGGTGGCACAGGGGCTCACAGCCAGGGCCCTGTTGAAGCTGCTGAATCTTCAGCCACCCTGTCCGAGTCCTCCCTGGACACCAGGCCTCGGGCCACAGTGCCCCTCACAGCATCTCCTCACTGAGTCCTATGACCACCTGCACAACATCACTGTCCCCATGGGACGGATGAGAGTCAGGTGGGAACGTGTGTCCACCAGGAGATGGAAGGCGTCTGTTTGGCAGAGCTCACTTCAGGCAGGAACGTGTGTCCACCAGGAGATGGAAGGCGTCTGTTTGGCAGAGCTCACTTCAGGCAAGCACTGTTGACCGGGAACTGCAGAACTGAGAAGGCAGAAGGAAGCACGTTGAGGCACCACGAAGGCGGTAATGGCAGGAGTGCAGAAAGAACAACTCGATAAGAAGGCCAACCAATTTTGTAAAAGGGCACGTGACTTCAACAGCTACTCCGAAGGCAACACAGGAACAGCAGACAGCACATGAAAACTGCATCAGTAACAACCCTTGGGGCTCAGAGAACAAAGCTGAGGCACTGGGAGGCGGCCTGCAGGGCTGGGACCCAGACCTCCAAGGGGGCATCCCTGAGGGGACAAAGACAACTGGAACCAGCCCACGCGCAGGGCCAGCACTGGAGCATCACGGGTGGGGACAGGGCACGCGGAGCTGCAAAGAAGTGGGTCCCTTCTCCCTCCTGCCAGGCAGGCTCCCTCTGGAGTCCCCTCTTGGCCAGCCTGCCACGGAACCCATGGCAAGGCATACACCTGATAGGTAGAGTCTCAGAGCACCACAGAACAGTACAGGAGAGCCGGTTGGGAGCCGAGAGGCAACAGCTTAATGAGCAGAAAACCAGAGTCAAGTCACTCACCCAGTGATACAGCTGGTAAGTGATGGAGTTCCAATGCAGGGGCATCTGGCTCTGAGGCCAGTGCCCAGCTGGGGGGTTGAGAGGAAACACCTGGTGAGTCCCGGCCCCGGGAGCCTAAAAAGTGTGATGTGCTGGGCACTGGGGCAGGGGCAGAACTCTGGGCAGGCAGCACCACAGAGCTCCCAGGAGGTACCAGGCACCTGCCAAGGGTTCTGAGACCCAGAGCCAGGGCTACTGGTGAAGCCAAGCTGGAGCTCAGCTGTGGGGCTGGGGCATCTGGGAGACATGGTACATGATCCCGAGCTGGGCCCCCATTCCAGTCCAAGTAAGATGCAATGGCAGCCAGAGAGACCTAATGTCCTGGCTCTGGGCTCTGTACCTGTGAGCCCTAAACAGCTGTGCCTGAGATGTCCCAGCTGACTCTCCCCACGTTCCCTCCAGCATCCATGAGCAGTGAGATGGCTGCCTCCACTTTGATCAGGACAGGGGGGTGCTCAGCGGGCCATTTGGGACCATTTCTATGAGGCATTTTGACAGCCTTGCTTTAAATCATTGTGAAAAACGGTCTTTTTAAGTGGAGTGGAAGCCCACAGCAGCCTTCAAAGGCCTCTCTGGACAAATATGGGTGCGTTAAGAAGACCCCTGGCTCTGTATCACCTGCTTCGCTGTGTACCAAGTTCAATGCAGCTCGAGAGAGAAGACTCCTGGCCTGTCCTCCAGTCCAGGTGGTGACAGCAGAGCTCAGTCTCCCCTCCACAAGGTCCGACCTCCTGAACCCTGTTTCCAGGTCGCCCGTGCCCCGCCTCCCAATAGGCCCTCTGACCTGGTCCTTCTGGGCTCCCCACATAAACTGCCTTAAGCAGAACCCACATTCCTTCTAATGGCTTCAACAAGAGTTAAATAATCTATCACTGACGCACCTGGAAAAACTTAATGAGATTTCAACTCAGTACTTCTGAA